GCCAGAGTAGTATTCGAAATTGTAAAGCTTCCTCTCTCTCTTTTATAAGTAAAGTAAAGGACTCATTTCCACGCCATTCAGGTGTATTAGGTATATAGGGCTAGACCTAAATTTTATTGATGAAACGGCACTTGGTGGGTGATGTGGTCAGCATTACACCGGTCACCTTTACATCCGAGGACTGTTCCTTGTACCCACTCAAAGCTGGGTTAACCTGGTAGCCAAGGTCATTTTTGAAAAAAATCCGGCTCTCATCAAAAACCAAACCCACGACCTTCAGATCCGCAGCCAAGCATCTAGCCACAGTGGCTCCCCTCTCTCTCTTTATATATATATATATATATAATTAATATGTAATGAATATTCATGGAATTATACATGAATGAAAGTGTATCCATCATTTAGAATAACCTCTATTTTGATAGGGAATTGCAAGAGCCTTCACTGTTCTGCTTTTCTTTAACAGTTTTATTTGCAGATATCAAGAGAAATGATCGTCAGAATCTGTCCTTACAGCATGGGTATGTGAATAGTAGAGATACAGAGAAAACACAAATACAACCTCCCAAATACAGTGCCTTTTCAGGAAAATCAGGTAACTAGTAGACAGATCACATAATAACTCTATAATGGTACCTATCACAGATTAGACCTTGTATCTGACATTAAGTAAATCAGAGCACAGACCTAGCCTTGTATATAACATTAGGTATATAATATCACAGACCTAGCCTTGTATATAATTTTAAGTATATAATATTACAGACCCAATCTTGTATCTAACATTAAGTATATAATATCACAGACCTAGCCTTGTATCTGATATTAGGTATATAATATCACAGACCTAGCCTTGTATCTAATATTAGGTATATAATATCACAGACCTAGCCTTGTATCTAATATTAGGTATATAATATCACAGACCTAGCTTTGTATCTGTTATTAGGTATATAATATCACAGACCTAGCCTTGTATATAACATTAAGTATATAATATCACAGACCTAGCCTTGTATCTAATATTAGGTATATAATATCACAGACCTAGCCTTGTATCTGATATAAGGTATATAATATCACAGACCTAGCCTTGTATCTGATATTAGGTATATAATATCACAGACCTAGCCTTGTATCTGATATTAGGTATATAATATCACAGACCTAGCCTTGTATATAACATTAAGTATATAATATCACAGACCTAACCTTGTATCTAATATTATGTATATAATATCACAGACCTAGCCTTGTATCTGATATTAGGTATATAATATCACAGACCTAACCTTGTATCTAATATTAGGTATATAATATCACAGACCTAGCCTTGTATATAACATTAAGTATATAATATCACAGACCTAGCCTTGTATATAACATTAAGTATATAATATCACAGACACAGCCTTATATCTCTAACATTAAGTATATATAATACCACAGACCCAGTCTTGTATCTAATATTAAGTATATAATATCACATACCTAGCCTTGGATATCTAACATTAAGTATGTAAAATACCACAGACCCAGTCTTGTATCTAATATTAAGTATATAATATCACAGATCTTGCCATGTATATAACAATAATATCTAATGTCACCAATCCACAAGGGAATATACACTTATATAGCGAGTGTGTGGTTTTGAATCCTAGCAAGTGCCTCAATTGTCAGGTTTTTATCCCAACACTGCACACCCATGTGAGAACTGGACTGATATCTGAGCTATGTTGATCCCAGACACTGTCCTGAATAACCAAAAGTGGCTCCTACAATAAAATTAATGTAGCTGTACTTATTTCCACAGCAGCAGGAAAAGGGATAGATAGATATCAAGATGAATCCAATAAGATAATATCAAGATACACAGTTAACCCCTCCGACTTTCTCCTCTCCTGGTATTAATTTATAACAAAAGCCCCCCTATCAAGTGATTTACATATGTGTGAGCTGAGGTAAACTATTATGCACAAAGACACTTGAACTTAAGTAAACAATTTACTCAACTATTTTATGACAACATGAACAAGATTTTCTTAATAGTCTCAACAAAATAAATTGAACATGCATAGGCTAGTAGAGTTAGGATGATGTTAGGATGATGATAACATAACGTGAAACAAATAGAGAAATTAAACCTCCGGCAGTTCTCAATTTGAAACCCTGCCTATCCTTTTCCAGATGTCGTCCTTGCTTCTTCAAGCAGGTCGTTACATGCAGACTTTCCTCAAAGAATGGATGTCAACTAGTCCCTGCCCAATGTGGGAACTGGAAAATGAAAACACAATGCAAAAAGTTGTGTCTCAAAGCTTAGGGTTTAAGCTCAGCAGATGGTGTGCTGATAGCATGTGCAGATAGCAGAGTCTCACTTTCCAGCCCTAAAGTCCACCCTTTTATAATCTCTTCTAAGCTCCTCCTCTTCTCCCCCAAAACTACTCTTATTCAAGGGATGTCAAAGCTCCTCCACATGGCTAAGTCCATTCATTGTCAGTCAGGACTGCACAACACTAGTTTGCATTCCCATAGTTTATCAAGCTGGACATAGCTTTGCATGGTCATAAAAGAGTCCCACCTTTCTGTCCCCTCAAATCAACAAAATACTCTGACAGCTGGTCCAGGTCGTCTGTTAACACCTCCATAGTCTTTTAAGATCTCCATCGGACAGGTGTAAATACTAGCTGTCTGTACTAAACTCAAGGGGGTAAGTTTAGGGGGAGGTATTTACTTTATCAGGAGTTGCATGTCCCTGATGGTCTGATAATTATCTGACACCTCAAGTTAGGTGGTCAGTACATTCAATTGAACTGTAGCAACCCAGTCTACCTGGTCAGTCTTTGAGTGTTTGATATCAACAGTACAAAATGGAAATTAAATGGCTTTGTTCAGGATGGCCTTGACCAGGTTATATCCAGGACCATTTTTTTCTCTATATTTAAAATTTTTTTAAATTAAAAATTTGGTTGAGGAAAGACATGTTCTGAAGTCAAGAGCATGTCATCACATCTAATAGCACAAACCTAGCTTTGTATCTAACATTAGGTATATAATAGCACAGACCAAGTCGTGCTATCTAACATTAAGTATATAATATCACAGACCCAGTCTTGCGTGTAACATTAGGTATGTAATAGCACAAACTAAGTCTTGTATATAACATTTAGTTTATAATATTGCATACCCAGTCTTTTATCTAACATTAAGTATATAATATCACAGACCAAGTCTTTTATCTAACATTAAGTATATAATATCACAGACCAAGTCTTGTATCTAACATTAAGTATATAATATCACAGACCAAGTCTTGTACCTAACATGAAGTATATAATATTGCATACCCAGTCTTTTATCTAACATTAAGTATATAATATTGCATACCCAGTCTTGTATCTAACATTAAGTATATAATATCACAGACCAAGTCTTGTATCTAACATGAAGTATATAATATTGCATACCCAGTCTTTTATCTAACATTAAGTATATAATATTGCATACCCAGTCTTTTATCTAACATTAAGTATATAATATTGCATACCCAGTCTTTTATCTAACATTAAGTATATAATATTGCATACCCAGTCTTGTATCTAACATTAAGTATATAATATCACAGACCAAGTCTTGTACCTAACATGAAGTATAATATCACCAACCCATTCTTGTAACTAACTTTAAGTATATCAAAGCACACACCTAGCCTTGTATCTTACTTTAAGATATCAAAGCACAGACCTAGCCTTGTATCTTACTTTAATTATGTAATATCACAGACCCAGTGTTATATCTAACTTTAAGATATCAAAGCAAACACCTAGCCTTGTATCTTACATTAAGTATATTATAGCACAGACCTAGCCTTGTATCTAACATTAAGTATATTATAGCACAGACCTAGCCTTGTATCTAACATTAAGTATATTAAAGCACAGACCTAGCCTTCCATCTAACATTAAGTATATCAAAGCACAGACCTAGCCTTGTATCTAACATTAAGTATATCAAAGCACAGACCCAGCCTTCTATCTAACATTAAGTATATCAAAGCACAGACCTAGCCTTCCATCTAACATTAAGTATATCAAAGCACAGACCTAGCCTTCCATCTAACATTAAGTATATCAAAGCACAGACCTAGCCTTGTATCTAACATAAAGTATATCAAATCACACTAAATCAGAACGTCAGAAAGACAAACTAATGTTAGAATATTGCGAACTAAAAAAAAAATGACCAAGAAAAGTGCCAGAGAAGATTTATGGAAAATCTTGCAGAAACAGCAGAAAATGCTGCTAAAGCACATGATCTACAAACCCTACACAAAATTACCCAGCAAATTTGCGGAAACAGAAACAATTATCACAGCATACCCATCAGAGATAACCAAGGCAGACTGCTCACGACAGAACAAAAACAAGACATGCAGTGGACTAAACACTTCTCCGACCCCTTGAACAGACCTGATCCTGAAAATCCCCCAGATATTCAACCAGCCTCTCATGACATTGACATTATTACTGAACCACCAAGCAAACAAGAAATCCTTAAAGCTATCCACACTTTAAAGAACAACAAAGCACCAGGCAAAGACGAACTGCCAGCAGAACTTCTCAAAGTAGATCCCAACACAACTGCTAGCATTCTAGAACCATTGTTCAAGGATATTTAGGAAAAAGAAGTGTCGCCTGATGACTGGACTGAAGGAACAATAGTCAAAATCCCCAAAAAAGGAGACTTAACAGACTGCAATAATTGGAGGGGAATTACTCTACTCTCAGTGCCAAGCAAAATATTTTGTAAAATCATCATAATGCAGCTTGAAAAAGGAGTAGATAAATGCCTACGAGTGGAACAAGCAGGATTCAGAAAGGGCAGAGGAACAACTGAGCGCATCTTCGCCATACGTAACATTTTAGAACAATGCAACGAATGGCAGAGAAGTATATATATTAATTTTGTGGACTTTGAGAAAGCTTTTGACAGCGTCCATAGAGACGGTCTGTGGAAAATTTTACGACATTATGGAATTCCAGAAAAAATAGTCAACATAATTGCTCTCTTCTATAAAGACTTTTCCTGCAGTATAAAAAATTACAATACATCTTTCCCAGTAAAGATGGGTGTAAGACAGGGATGTGTTATGTCATCTCTCCTCTTCAACCTTGTGATTGATTGGATACTTAAGAACACAGTAGACAGGACATTAAGAGGCATACGATGGACTCCATTCACCATGCTTGAGGACCCTGATTTTGCAGATGATATAGCACTCCTATCACATAAACATGAACATATACAAGAGAAAAGTAACAGACTACGCTGCACAGCAGAAATGGTGGGACTGAGAATAAATACAAAGAAAACTAAGATCATGACAAACAGTCCAAACCAACAACCAGTGACCATAAGTAACCAATCACTTGAAAATGTAGAACATTTCACATATCTTGGCAGTGTGGTGTCCCTACTGGGAGGGACATAGGAAGACATACAGTCATGCCTGAACAAAGCTAGAGCTGCTTTTGGAAGGATGAGGCAAATCTGGAAATCCAACAATTACTGCAGAGGAATGAAACTCTGACTCTACAAGAGCATCATTTTGCCAGTTCTTCTTTATGGAGTGAATGACCAAAAAGGATGCACACAAGCTGTCCACCTTCCACCACACATGTCTACGTACAATTATCAAAATTTTCTGGCAAGATACAATCTCAAACACTGAACTACTTCAAGCCACAAACCAAGAAACTTTAGACAGTATGATTACCAAGAGAAGATGGAAATGGCTTGGTCACATTATGAGAATGACTTCTGATATACCTGCCAAAACAGCTCTCACATGGACACCAGAGGGAAAGAAAAAACAGGGGCACCCAAAAACAACATGGAGACGAACGATGGAAAGTGACCTGAGTGCGGCATCTTTGACATGGAAAACTGCACTGAAGATTGCACAGGACAGGAAAACATGGAAAGTCCTCTCTGAAGCCTCATGTGCCACTAGGCATAACGAGAACTGATGATGATGATGAAAGCACAGACCTAGCCTTCTATCTAACATTAAGTATATCAATGCACAGACCTAGCCTTGTATCTAACATTAAGTATATCAAAGCACAGACCTAGCCTTGCTATGAAGGACTTTGGAATACCAAAGAAGTTAATCACCCTGAACAATAATATAGTAACATATAATGGCAGAGAGTCGGACACCTTTCGAATAACATTTGGTTTAAAGCAAGGTGATGCATTGTCCCCGCTTCTTTTCAACTTGACCCTGAAGAAACTTACAAGGAAATTAAAACAAAAGAAAACTACAAGAGTACTTGGTTATATAGATGACATTGATATTGCTGAAGAAAATGAACTAGAGACTGTAAAAACATTGACTCTGTTAAAAAAAAAGCAGCTAATAAAATGGGACTAGTTATCAATCAAGATAAGACAGGATACACAATAATAACATGTCAGGGAAAAGATATAAAATCCGGCCACATACAAGTCAATAATATAAAAATCAAACGAACGGAAACAAATAAGTCCTTCAACTGCTTCAACATGGTGAGGGAAGAAATACAATCTAGAATATAGTCCAGAAATAAAGTATACTAAGCCATTCAATATCTGAAGTTGCCTCTGAAGTTATGTATATTATAGCACACATTTTATATGAATTTATTTTACTGTAACACAGACTTGGTCTCGTTTATGAAATCAGGTGTATCATAGCACTGATCCAGTCTTGTTTCTGAAGTTATGTGTATCATAGCCCAAATCTCACCTTGTTTCTGAAGTTTTGTATATCTTAGCACAGATCTCACCTTGTATCTGAAGTTAGATACAACATAGCCTGGGTCTCACCTTGTTTCTGGTTATGTATATCATAGCACAGATCTCACCTTGTATCTGAAGTTAGATATAACATAGCCTGGGTCTCACCTTGTTTCTGAGGTTAGGTGTATCATATAACAGATCTCACCTTATTTCTAAAGTTAGGAATATCATAGCACAGACCTCACCTTGTTTCTGAAGTTAGATATATTGTAACCCAGATCTCACCTTATTTCTGAAGTTAAGTATATCTTAGCCCAGATCTCACCTTGTTTCTGAAGTTGGGTGTATTATAGCACATATCTCACGTTGTTTCTGAAGTTAGGTGTATTATAGCCCAGATCTCACCTTGTTTCTAAAGTTGAGTATATCTTAGCCCAGATCTCACCTTGTTTCTGAAGTTGAGTATATCTTAGCCCAGATCTCACCTTGTTTCTGAAGTTGAGTATATCTTAGCCCAGATATCACCTTGTTTCTGAAGTTGAGTATATCTTAGCCCAGATCTCACCTTGTTTCTGAAGTTGAGTATATCTTAGCCCAGATATCACCTTGTTTCTGAAGTTGAGTATATCTTAGCCCAGATCTCACCTTGTTTCTGAAGTTGAGTATATCTTAGCCCAGATATCACCTTGTTTCTGAAGTTGAGTATATCTTAGCCCAGATCTCACCTTGTATGTGAAATTCAAGCTTTGATTCCTGAGAATTGTTGCTGATGGAAGTGCAGTTATTTACACTGATCAATCCATCATCCACCATTTGCAAAGCTCATGGGCTTTTAAAGTTCTGGTTGGTGGAAAGCTGTAAAGAAAGATATTGATGCTTTTGGTTTGATTACAGGTAGGCTGATGATGGACGTGATGGCGGTAACAAAAGTAATTACCTGGCTACAGCTTCCTTCTCTTTCCTTTTTTAATTTTAGAACCAGTATTAGCAGATTACCTAAAGAAAGAAAACCATAATCTTGCAAAACATGATGACCGTGCAAATGATGCATCTGCAAAGAAAAAAGAACATCTGTCACCACGGCCTACCAAATACAATGGACCTTTGGAAAAATCAGGTATTTATGAACATTCATTTTATTGGTCTTGTCAGAAGAACTTGGTACATCCTAGTAGTAAGGCTTCATAAATTATGTTTAAAAATGGATATGTTATTGCACAGATGTCATAAGTTTGATATATAAAACAAACTGAGTATATTTTAGCACAGGCTTCACCAGTTTAATTTAAAACTTGATATATTACATTACAGGCTCATAAATTATGTTTAAAATTTATATATTTATAGCATAAACATTATAAAATTTGATGTAAAACTTGGTATATTTTAGCAAACGCCTCACGACTTTGATCTACAACTTGATATGTTAAAGCACAGATATGGTTTTATCTAAACCTTTGCATATTTTAGCACAAGCCTCACCAGTTTGATCTCCAACTTAATAGGTTAAAGCACAGATGAGGTTTTATTGAAACCTTTTATTTTTCAATTGTCTATACAATTAGACGTATTATAGCACCACCTTTAGAAATTGTATCTACGGTTAGACACACCATAGCACCAGTTGTTATTTACAGTTACAGATTTCCTAGCACTGGTTTTATCTTCAGTTAGACATATCATAGCACTGGTTTCACCTACAGATAGATATATTGTAGCACCAGTTTTAGAAATATTTTCTAGAATTAGAAGTATAATAGCACCAGTTTTAACTACAGTTAGACGTATCATTGCACCTGTTTTATCTACAGTTAGATGTATCATAGCACCGATTAGGAGCCATTAGGATGCGAAGTGCTAGGTTTTCACATGTCTGACCATAATATATGAGATAGGGTTGCCAGTTCCCTTCCTCACTACCTTTTCTTCAGAGATAGTAGTTCTCAAATATTATGGAAGTTGGCTTGTATTCACTTTTATGAGGTTAGATTGTTTCTAGAGCCATAGTGGTTTTAAACAAATCCTGCCACTTCTGAAGATTCAAACAACTACTGTCTTGATTGGATTGTCTTCTGTGTTTCTTTGACTTTTCCAGTGTGCATTCTACATCTCCATTTTAGAGAACAAAGCCAGACCCACTGGCGTCCTTCAAGCATATCATAGGAAGCGACTAATTAGGGTGGGTTTCCTTCAAAGCTGGAGTGCATCTGCCTAAGCGGCAAGGAACCAACAGTCTGTATACAAATAAGACAGATTTGTGAAACAGATGTGCACATAAAACTCAAGTTCTGGATCAAGATCACGATCCAGAAGTGGACAAACTACAAGACTTTCTGCTGGAGTTTACTACCAGTGCATTCTAAGAAGAAGAAGAAGTGTTCTTTTGACAACATCACCCATTGAGTGCTGATTGATCTATAAAAATATACGACGAGTGCTATGTAGATAATGCTCCAAAGGTTCAGTAGGTTTCCTTCTGCATTCTCAGTGCTAGGCTGTGATATCTGTGCATTTTAGTCTAACATATCGGCAGACCCTTAATTAGTCACTTTTTACATTATGCCTGTCAAGGGGTGGTGGAACTGTTCTCATCCCACCCCCTGCCTCCCAAATGAGGCCTTGGAACCTGCAGAAGGGAGAATTTATATTGAATGTTGAATTAAGAATCAACATTACAGCACTCTGGACACCCCCATAAGCGCTTCGTCCCCATCTTCAGCAGCAAGTGAAGAGTTGAAATTCTGAAGGTACCAGTAACTGTCTGATTGTATATTCCTCTCGCCTTTCCCCTGAGTGTCGCGCGTCGGCCGGATGCCCTTGTAACGCCTTGCAGTGCCATTCTCCTCAGACCGTAATGATCTATCTGTTCCTCGGTACTGTTCACTTACTCTCAAAGGGCCCTCATAACAACCAGCTTGTTATACATCAGTTCACCACCAAGTGGTGCAGAACTGACCAGTCTATCTGTCTGCTCATTTCACAAATATCCAAAGGATGCTAACTATCCTGGACCTCTGAAGTGACGCTTGCCACTCTGCATGCCTGTCTCCACCTTTCTCAGCATGTTCTGTGACATGTGTGTACAGCTGATTCTCAAGCCAGCGGAGGGCAGCGGTGACTGCCTCCACCTCCATTCTCAAACTAGACGTTGTGATATGGGAGAATTTATACAATGTTTAATTAAGAGTCGACATCACAGCACTCACGACATTCCCATATGCGCTTTGTCCACATCTTCAGCAGCAAGCACAGCATTCCAAATCTGATATTACCAGAAACAGTCTGATTATATATCATCTCACTTTTGCCCTGAGTGTTGATCTTCAACCAGATCCCCTGGTCACTCCTCGCAGCACTGTTCTCCTCAGCCTGTCATGATCCATTTGTGTTTCTGCACTATTCACTCACCCCCAAAAGAGGGCCCCAACTCTCTGTTTTTTGGGTCCTTACAACATCTAACTTGCTCTATGGGCATGTTGAGAAATTTTTACAACACTATAGACACATAGCCCTATAAGTGTTGTCTTGCCCAGTTGTGGCGATTTAGTTGCCTACGTGTCGATTCCTCTCTACCATTATTGGTTGGCACATTCCATTTCTGGAGACAGCTTTGTTAGAGTTTGCTGTCTAGACTGTTGCATTCCTTTGCTTTTAAGGTCTGTCTACACAATTAGTGGACCTCTGTGATTTTTAAATAAATGTCAGTATGGCCTACCCGTCGAGACTCTCGTTTCTGTCAGTCATCATCCTGCTCGAACATAGCATAACCACAGTATACTCTTTTTCCCATGAAGGTATCATGTATTGAAAACACACAAAATAGCAGTCCATGACAAGAGAACACAAAGATTCAAAAGAAAATCACAGACAGTGAATGCTAACACAGCCACTAATTGCCATCTTGATAATGGGAGTCTGGAAGTATTATCTAGGTAAAGATAATGGTGAGAGGATCGACTTCATTGCCACGGGTTTTATTTTATGTGGCTATCATGTTTCGTCATCTCACACAGTCAGCAGAATCCCAGATCAGTTGAATATTTTGTGTCTCATCCCATCCATTTGGCAAGGCCATCCAGGTATTTATCTGTCTGCTTTTTTCTTGCTCGCTTTCTCTTAATCTTGCCAGTTGTTATCAAATTCTTGAGTCGATTTATTCTCAGAATATGTCCAATAACATTGACTGTCTGTGGCTAACTGTTCTAAAAGGTTTATGACTTTCATATGTCTCGTTGAGGACTGCTTCGTTTTTTTTTTAAATGATATTTTTTTGCATTCTTCTCAGAAACCACAACTCTGCTGCAAGGAAATGTTTTTCAGATCGTTTCCTTATTGTCCATGTTTCACATGCATATAACAATACAGGTTTTATGCAGCACTTTAACACTCTTTTTCTAACAGATGTTATGATTGTGCCTAAATAGTTGTATCTGTTAACTTGCTTAAGAATTTTGCCATTTCATGTATTTCACACTTTGGTATTTCGGTCTTTTTGGTGATGACCATATTTTCTATTTTCTTGCAATTTAATTCCAAGCCTATTTCTCACTATGAACTATCACTGCATCCACTAAACACTGCAGATCTTTTTCATTGTCTGCAGTTAACAGCATATCATCTGCAAATCTTGTATTGTTGATGTTACATCCTTCCTTGGTAATTTCCTTCATATCTTTCAGATGTTGCATAATATTTTCACTATATAAGGCAAAAAGATCCGGAGACATTACACATCCCTGTAGCATACTTCTCTTGACTGGTCGGTATAATCCGACTCCATTATCAATTCTTATAGCAGCATGTTGTTTCCAGTGAATGTTCTTAATCTGTCTTTCCCACCAGTTTGTAGATCTGTAAGCAATTTTATCATGTCGACCTGTTTTACTCTATCAAAAGCCTTTGTGTAATCAATAAAGCAGAGATATAGATCTTTACTTCTATCAAATGTTCTGTTATTGTTCTCAGCAGATGAATAACATTTGTTGTACTCTTGCCTTCTATGAGCCCACATTGCTCTTCACCTGCTTCTGATTGTATTTCTTCTTAATCCTTTGTGTGATAAATCTTAGCACAATCTTTGTGATGTGACTCACGATGTTAATGTTTAATATAGGTTAGACCTGTATTGTATACACCTGCACTTGGTGGGTAATGTTGTCAATATCAGACCAGCCACTTTTACTTCCCAGGACTATACCTAGTACCCACTCAAGGCTGGGTCAGCCTGGAAGCCAAGATCATTTTGAAAAAAGTCTGGCTCTGTCAGCACCTGAACCTTCGACCTTCTGGTCCGCAAATAAGCATAATAGTAAGCAGAAGAAGCAACTTTCTTTTTCTCAAGCATCATGATTTCAGTGCTGCTGTAATAGACATTACATGGTGGTTACCAGCACCCTTTGTTTCTAGAGGAAAAAGCGCTGGATGACATTCAGTGCAATAAAGTCAACCATTTTGTCTAAATACTCTGTAAATGGTGTGTTTGAAAAAAGACAATTACTAACAGTTCTTTCAATTGTTTTTATTTACATTTTATTTAAATCTTAGTTCCAGTATTCGCGGATTATCTGAAAAAACAACTTGAGAAACTTACGGAGCTTGGTGAACATGGGAAAGAAATATCAAAGCCTCAGTCGAATTTTCAATTTACAAATCCAGGTATCTTGTAGCACATATTGCCCAAAACTAGGCATTTCATAGCAGAAACGTGTCATGGTTGTGAGTCGTGAGTGAGTCAAGGTTCCAATGGTAAAAGTAAAGGTAAAGTTGGGAGATGTGAACCAGCGTCATTGCACACGATTATAAACTATAAGTGCTCTGCCACCAGTACGGACAGCTGATAAGAAACTATCCCCCTGTGTCACCATCCGCACGCAACTCCGCAGCTATAGCGACTTTTCTCCATTTACCCCAGAGTGTTAATTCTGGTACCCATTACCTAGAGGCTGGGTGAACCCCGAAAACCACCTGGTTTGGAACACCGGCCGTGGGCTGGATTTGAAAGCGCGTCTCCTATTGGCTGTGCAAACGTCGCTGCCAACTTTACTGCAAAGAGGGTCATTTCATAATTTCTCAGTTTCTGTGTCAGTGGAAAGCACACAAAATATTCTTCACTGTCCCATTTGAAAAACTTGTGAAAAACACATCAGTCAGAACAAATTTGAAGCTCGCACACACCATATGTAGAGATTTTCAATGTTGTTTAATGCAGACAGATACAAGCCTCGGAAGGATTGAATAAAAGTGGTGTATCCTAGGAGCAGCTTATCGATAATTGTTTATAATATCATGTGACAAGATATAGTTCTGTGTGGTAAAGTGTTTATTCTTGATAGTGGCTTGTTTCCCTATTTTCTCAGTTGATAGTTTTACAATATGCTATATCATTATCATGTGGCAGGCAATTAGCAGTATGTCGCACTCATCGCAGTCTGCCTGACAGAAACTCTGTCCATAGCCAGCTGTCTTGCACTCTCCACCCATCATGTCAGTCATATCCTATGCCCTTCTTCATGCCGCTGCCACTCTTTTCTGGTACTATGATTTCTTTTTTTCTTTTTTCAAATCCACTTTGGGGCTTAATATGGCCAAAATATTTCAGCTTCTGAGATAAAATGCTATTAACCACTAGCCAATCTTCTTTGATATTCAGATCTTTTAGGATGTCAGTATTCTTTTTTTTTTGTCCATGGTATTTGAAAATATATTATGCTGTATAGAGTCATGGAAATCACACTCATGGTGATGGCAAGGGTTGACCAGAAACACAGCTTGCGTAGAGGAATCTTCCATAATAAGTAAAATCTTGTGGTATTGTGGCTATAATGTGTCAATTCATCTCAGTACTTGTATCATTCATGCAGACAAGTGTGTTAATCCATCTCAGTAGTGTATCATCATTCGTGCAGGCAAGTGTGTTAATCCATCTCAGTAGTGTCATCATTTGTGCAGGCAAGTGTGTTAATTCATCTCAGTAATGTATCATCATTGGTGCAGAAAAGTGTGTTAATCCATCTCATAAATGTATCATCATTCATGCAGGCAAATGTGTTAATCCACCTTATTTTGATCGGCTTGTCCTTTCGGGTTGCTACCTAAAGATTTACCATATCATCCTGAGACTAAGGAATCTCAGTCTGGGCAGCAGATTCCAGATACCCTGTTCAACCTCCAAAGAAGTTATACCTAGGCCACCTATAATGGCTACAGCAGCCATATAAACTGCAGTCCAGTGTAGGTCCATCTTAGTACTTGTGTCATTTATGTAGACAAGTGTGTTTCCTCAGTTAGTGTTTCCTCTTGAGCCTTGGGTGGTGTGTAGGGCAGAGGTAATAGCTCTCCATGTCCTGCAGTTCATTGCTACCTGTTTTAGGTCTTGGATATTTGTTAGGTCCATGGTTGAGCCTTCTTTAATTATTGTTTTACACAGGGTCTCTCTTGGTCTTTCCCACTTTTCTTTTCCCTTTCGGTCTCCACATGTTCCACACAAATGAGTGCTGGACATGCGTACATGATATTGTCTTCTGTTATGTAGACTAAATTGTTCCACAAACATGATATTGTCTTTTGTTAGTTATGTAGACTCAATTGTTCCATGTACATGATATTGTCTTTTGTTAGTTATGTAGACTAAATTGTTCCACACACATGATATTGTCTTTTGTTAGTTATGTAGACTAAATTGTTCCACATACATGATATTGTCTTTTGTTAGTTATGTAGACTCAATTGTTCCACGTACATGATATTGTCTTTTGTTAGTTATGTAGACTCAATTGTTCCACATACATGATATTGTCTTTTGTTAGTTATGTAGACTCAATTGTTCCATGTACATGATATTGTCTTTTGTTAGTTATGTAGACTCAATTGTTCCACGTACATGATATTGTCTTTTGTTAGTTATGTAGACTAAATTGTTCCATGTACATGATATTGTCTTTTGTTAGTTATGTAGACTCAATTGTTCCACGTACATGATATTGTCTTTTGTTAGTTATGTAGACTAAATTGTTCCACGTACATGATATTGTCTTTTGGTAGTTATGTAGACTAAATTGTTCCATCATTATACAGTGAGGTACATGAAAAGTTAGAAAAATAATATTTTATGGACCCTTTTCCCCACCAATCGGTGTATTGTACATATAGGGCTAGACATACATTTCATAGACCAATCAGCACTTGCGGGTGATGCGGTTAACATCACATCAGCTGCCTTTGCTTCTCAGGACTTTGCCTGGTGCCTATTTAAGGCTGGGTTAACCTGGAAGCCAGGGTCATTTTTTAAAATAAAGCCTGACTCCATCAGGACCTAAACCCATGACTTTGGGATCTGCAGGTAAGAGTCTGAGGTGCATGGTACTGTTTCATTACCCAGTACATCCAGGCATTTCTTTCAAGTTTACTTCAGACTGTCGGAAGTCTAGCTTGAGGTAAAGACCTTCACCAGGTCTCACTTCTTCAGTGACTCCATGAAAATGCAGAGTAAGATTTAGACAGCCTGGGCAACAAAGACAGTGACAGTGTCTGATAACTGTTTGAGACGCAGTAACGATGTGGCTAGACCCTTGCCTGCCATCCCAAAGATCTTGGATTTAAATCTACATTGAAGCATATTTGTTTTCTTAAAAATAACCTTGGCTCCCAGGGCAAAAATGAGTACAAGAAAAATACTGTAATGGGAGCCAACAGGCAAATTGTTTACCCTACCACCACTTGAGTGCTGATCGTGCTATGAAAGCATGGACATATATACTCGTCTGTGACTTAGGCATTGTAAACTCACTATGTAATTCTCATGTATCCAGTTTGATACCCGCTGCTGGCAGTTTGGCAGCAAACTACCTTGAGTTGATTTTAACATGTGTACTGAAAGTTGACTGCTCAGAAAACAGTGACAAACTACTGAACATAAATGCCTTGGGTTGATTCTGCAATGTCCTATAAAATGTACGCATCTAAATTAACACAGGCATACGACTGCACGCATGTATATATATATGCACACTCGCATGCACACACACACGCATGCACGCTTTGACTTTAGCAGATGTTGAAGGAAATGGTATACTTTTTTCCAGATTATATTCTAGATTGTATTTCTTCTCTCATGCTGGAGCACTTCAAGTTTGAACCCTAGTACTCATATGTTGCTGTTCGTTTGATTTTCATATTACCGACTTGCATTTGGCCAGACATTATATTCTTTCCCTGTCTTGTTATTATAATGTATTCTGTCTTATCTTGACTGATAACTAGACCCATTATTTGTGCTTCTTTTAAGAAAGTCAGTGTCTTTAACCATCTCTAGTTAATTTTCTCCAAAGATATCAATATTATCTGCATAACCTTGTTTTCTTGTAGTTTCTCCTTTAGTACATTCTTGTTTCAATTTCCTTAAAATTTTTGCTAGGGCCAAATTGAAAAGAAGTGTTGAAAAAAAAAGCTGATTAAAAATTCCGATAGCATCAGTAAAAGTTACAGTTGAATGAAGTACAATGTACAGAAATTCATAGTTAATGCCCAAGTGAGGCATTTGTGACAACAGCAAAATCATACTACATCCACAAGGGTGAAATACATAACCTTTGTAGGGGAAAGGAGACAGATGTGTTTTCATGTGTCTTAGATGCCTTGACTAAATATACAGGGTGTATGTTTAATTACTGTAGACTATTTTAAATCAGTTATCTGCGCATTGTAATAAATTTGTGTATTATTCATGTTTCAAGTGCTGTGTAACGCTGGTTTAACATGTCACTGCTATACATCTGTGTTTTAGTAACTGATCTGAGCAATAATGATGTTAACAGTTGAAGAAAGAGTATTTTTGGTTGAGCGTGTGTTCCTTAACTGTGGCAGGTTGTTCAACAATTTATTATATCATTTCCTGATACTAAAGTAAAAGCAAAGTAAAGATCCCTTGTCATGCCTTTAGGTGCATCAGGTATATGGAAAGAGCGCCCATATTTTTCAGACCATCGGCACTAGGTGGGTAATGTGGTCAGCATTACGCCGGCCGTCTCTACTTCTCCAGGACAGCCATCCTGGTACCCATTTTAGGCTAAAGTGCTTCATCCTAATACAGTTAGCAATTTAACCAGTAGAATCGATTGTAAATAGAGCTGTAACATGGAAAACAGTACCCAAAATAAGACACACTTTAGCAGTATATGCTGCGTCGACTCCACAGACAATAATTACAAAAATAGAAACAGCGATATAGTCATTAAAAATGCACCCTGTACAGTGTACATGCATAATAATATGTTTACAGGTTGCACATAATTAAATCTACTTTGTTTGGTGCTAGGAAGATAAACCATAAATTGCAGCCATACAAGCTGATCTGATGTACTTGTAGATCTCTGAAGATTTTTTTAGTTAAAAACTAACCCTAACGCTAACCTTATACCTATCTAATGCATTGTATACTAACCATATAGGTCGACCTAGTTTTGGAAAGATTTGTTTGGTTTGAACATTCAAGTCATATGCCACAACTTAGGGTAATTAAAAGCAGATCATATTTATAAGTCTTCTTCTTCTGCCTTTCTAACCTCCAATGGAGCATAGGCCCTCAGCTAATTCATGCCAAGTCGTTCTCTCCTTTGCTATCACATGCAGATGTCTCCATGTCCTATCCACCTTTTTTAACCTCACCAGCTTCCTTCTCTGTGTGTTTTCTGGTCTTCTTTTATTCCTATGTCCCTGTGGATTCCAGTGCGAAGACATTCTAGTAATTTTGCTCTCAGATTTTCTCAGTGTATGTCCTATTCAGTGCCAGCATCTTTTCTTCACCACTTGGTCTACTGGAACTTGTTTACTTCTCACCAAAGGCTCTACATTAGTGATTCTATCATACCATTTAATTCCCTCAATTCTGTGCAGGCACCAGTTAATGGCTGTTTGTAATTTATTAGTAATTGCCCTAGTTATTCTCCATGTTTCCGCTAGATCATTTAAGTGAATCCACAAAAATGTATTGGGTCACTACTTATTACTGAATGATTCAAGAGACTTATTTTTAAATTACATTCTTCTTCTTCTTCTGCCCTTCATTCCTAGCTGGAGCACAAGCCATTAACCAGCTCAGGCCACCTCATCCTGTCCTTTGCTGTTACATGCAGCTCACTACTGTCCTACCATTTTTTTTTTTACCTCACTCTCAAGTTCTCATCTCTGTAGGTTTTTTTAAATTAAATAATTCTTTACTTCTACACCCTGTGGGCTTCCAGGGTTAAGCCCTTTTAGTTATATTGTTCTCAGGTTTTCTCACTGTGTGTCACATCCAACACCAACATCTTTTCTGTGCAGACACCAGTTAATGAATGTTTGTTGTTTAATAGTAATTGTTTTAGCTATTCTCCATGTTTCGGCTCCATACAGCAATACTGATTTGTGATTTCAGTCTTGGATTCTCTAACGGCAGAACAACAGAAGCCTGTGGCAGTTTTAGAGAAAAAAACACAAAGGCAACCGTTTTCTTCAATTGATAAAGCAGGTATCTGGCAACACAAATCTTTTATATATTTTTTTTAATGACACTTAGTATACCATAGCAAATATTTATGTTTAGTCTAAAGCTAATTTATACTATCAGTGCCAAACACTGAACATGAATAGGGCTCTAGAACAGAAAATAACTACTGTGAAATGCACCACCTCTGTAAGCTCACTAACAACACAAGAAGGGAGAGGAATAAGAATACTAGCATTAGACAGACATTTGGGAAAAGACTGTACATCGACAAAGAATTCAATGGTTTGGCCATCTTGTGAGAATGCAGCCAGATCAAGCTGCATATAAGATTTTTCTTCTTCTTTTTTTTAAAACAGCAGAACATCTGAGAGGAAGGAAGACCAAGAAACAATTGGATAAATGGTGTAGATGAAACCTAGAGAATTCAATGGTTTGGCCATCTTGTGAGAATGCAGCCAGATCAAGCTGCATATAAGATTTTTCTTCTTTTTTTTTTTTTAACAGCAGAACATCTGAGAGGAAGGAAGACCAAGAAACAATTGGATAAATGGTGTAGATGAAACAGGCAAAAAGATTAATAAATACATCTCTCAAGCCACCCGAGAAATGCAAGACAAATACAGAAAACCATGACACCTGGTAACAGTGAGACCACAACAGAAAGAAGAAGAATCTAAAGCTGTCCCTTTGCGGGGGATTTCCTTCATTTTGAGAGGGAAAGAATGGACCCAATGCTCCTAAGAAGAATGTTGTAAACGTCAACTAATTAGAGGTTTTTTGAAATTGGAAAGTGAATGGTGCATATATCACAGCCTTGCTGTAAACCACAACACAGCATGCCAGCCACCCTTTAAACTTTAAATGCAAAATAAGGAAAAATAAAAAATAAAAAGGAGGATAATTTTCATTTTCTTCTTTTCATTCATCCAAGCAACTTGATTACGTTGTGCCTGTTTACAGTAAAGCTGCCATATTTGGGCCTTTCGGCCAACATATTCGACCAACACATTCGACTTCTTTAAGAATTTTTTGACTGGGTTCAAACTACCTTGATAGTTGCATGGGACACTGTATAGCCTTTTTTTTTTTTTGGGTGGTTCTCTCTTTGTCCCCTTATCTACAGATGTTGCCCCTTGAAAACCAGTCCATGGGCAACCGCGTGTAACTGCTCGTCCCTTAAGGAAGGGCAGAGGCAGAACATTGACATTCCCCACCACCCAAAAAGGTTTCCATAAATGCAGAGTCAACACATGATGCTTGCCTTGTATGACGTGTTGTTGGGGGCAGTGGATCTGTTATTTTTCCTATCAGCGCGGGGCCCCCAAATTGATAGCTTGATTAGCTAGCATGTGGTATTGTCATTTGTTGTTACAAGATTGAGAATGTGATTTTAGCTGATGTATTAGGGCAGGGCTATTGAACTAAGTTTACTCAGAGGCTAAAATATTGAAAATAGGAATCATCATGAGCCAGAGGACGGAGCCCCAGCATAAAAAGATCATTAATGCAATACAGCTGGCAATGATTACTTGCTAGACCTCCTTGGGCCAGATTTGGCCTGTGGTCCACCGGTTGAATAGCCCTTATCATCATCAGTCAGCAGGTCCTTTACAAAACATCGCTCTCATCATGGCATACCTGAAGGTCTCTCTTTCTGTAGCCAATTCTCCAGCCCTATGTGCTTTCATAGCCAATGCTTCCTAAATGTCTTGTATCCACCTCTGCAGAAGTCTGCTTCTGCATCGTTTTCCGGAAACTATACCCTCCATCACCACTTTCTCCAAGCCAGCATGGCATTTAACATGGCCAAAATAGCTCAGCTTTCAGGACAGGATGCTGTTTATGAGCCCATTCTCCTTAATGCTCAGGCTGGTAATTTCTTTCATGGCTGGCTGGATACCATGGTGCTACTGGAGCGTAACACACCGGCTGCTTTCACCACTTATACTGCAATCTAATGGCTCAATTTCATCTGCCCATAGATCGCCTTTGGGAACCCCTCACAACTGATTGTCACAGTTCCAGTTCATTTCTGCGTTGATTCTCCGATTACCAGAATTAAATGTTTGTGCAGCAATCTACTCATGTTGGTAGTTTTCTTTCTGCAACTGAGATCATGCAGTCATTGCCCAGAAAATGACGCACCGTTTGCTTTCATCACCTACATTGAGATTCTCATAGCTTACTATTTCCCGTTTGTGGGATCCAAAGGGGATCCGCCTCACAAATGGCATGCCGCTTTCCCGATCCTCCTTCTGTTGCTTATGGTTTCAGAACTCAAATGTTTTAGTCGTTAGCTCTTGGTTTCTTCCATTTCTTAAGCCTCCATGTGCAACGATGTTGCTCTGTTGTTATTCTGGCTCAGTCTGATGACAACTCTCTATCTCCTCTGTTATGATGTAGATATGGACACCCAGAGGTACACAACAATGACTTTAACATAATTTATTATAGTCTATCAAAAGAGTCATTTCGTCGTTGTCCTTAACTGTTCCTGGTCATTTACCACTTGCTTTCAACTGACAGCCACAACATGATTACAGCTAAACAAAGAGGCAATTACCTTTCAGTACAAATAGTTCATTCGCGTAGGGATTTAACATCTATATCAAAGCACCACAGTTCGCAGTCACTGGCCATCACAATTCAGAATCTGTTCTCATCGCAGTCACTAGGCATCACAGTTCAGGGTCTGTTCCCATCAGACATTCCTGGCATTCCAAGTCCTCGTTCCCACAGCTCATACGAAACCACACTGCCGCTCTCTGTTTTGTCCTACAAAACACTTGTTCCCTTCACATGGGATATGGTCTTGTAAACTTCCCTTGCTTTACCCGTTTCTCACTGGCCTGTAATACCAGGTCATCTCAGGAAACTCTTCGGACCTCCCTGAGAATTCCCTTCATTACATCATGTAAGATGTCAGTGTTTTTCTTCTTCTTTGTCCATGATATTATAAGAAATTTTCTGCAGCATTGTTCAAAAGCTGTGATTTAATTCATCAGTGATTGAGTAGGAGTCGCTGACTCACCTCCATAAGTTGCCACAGAAAAGAGGCATGGTCTCAAAATTGTTACATTAGCTAGCTTGAAGTTGCTGTGCCATGGAGTACAGGGGATAGTAAACCTTATTTCAAAGTTGCATTCAGCATTGTATTTCTTGTCTTAACATGATAGCATAATCAACATGTTTTTATGATAGGATAGCATATTTAGCATTTTGTTAGCATGTTTTAATACATTTTTTCTTTCATGGTGAGTTTCTTGGGATAATGATGTGTTGCGGAAGCTGAAATATTGTGGTCATATCAAGCACCATGACAGATTGGAAAAATCCTAGCAGATGGCATAGTAGCAGAATACAGTGACAGGGGCCAACCAGCATGAAGATGGGTGCAGGATATAAGTGACTTCTTGGAAATGAAAGTGCACAAGGCGGGAGAGCTGGCAGGAGACCGAGTTTCTTGCCAGCAGACCGTGATGAGAATGACTTTCTGCAAAGGACTTGCTACATGATGATCAGTAGAGATAGAAGATTATTATGGCCTGGAGAGAATGAGGCACCTGAGTGTAACCAGAGGGTCTGGCCAGCTCACTACACTCAGAGGAAAGACAAGACAGACATATAACCAGATTGTGACCAGTACCATCAGTAGTGGAACTCTGCGCTGGCTGCCAAGGATGAGGACAGAGCATGCATGGGAATGCCCTGAGTGCTGTGATGTCAATTCTTGACTCAAATCAACTCATGTGCCACATGATGATGATGGTTTTATACTGAGCATTCTGATAAAATAGCTTATGCAACACTCATTACAATTTTTTTATTTTTTTTTAAATAATCACTGTGTCTCTAAAACATTATTGTCAATTTGTCAACAGTCTTGACAAAAAGTATGGTGCCAGGCAAGAATAAATACTCAAGGAAGCCAACATATGTGACCAATTCTGCTGAAAAAGAAGCAACAGGTAATTCACAGAATTGTCATTAAAATGTTAATAAAGTACAGGATCCATTTCATCTGGTGTCACTCATATTTTTATAGACCAGTCTGCACTCATTGGATGATCCGATCAGTACCTCACCAGCCACCTTTTCTTCCCAGAACATTACCTAGTAACCATTTTAGGCTGGGATGATCTGATAGCGAAAGTCTTTTTGTGTACGTGTGTGTGCGTGCGTGCATGTGTGTGTGCGTGCGTGTGTGGAATGGAACCCAAGACCTTCAAGACAGCAGGCGAGCATCAAGACACAGAGCTTATGTGACTCCCGTCATTAAATGGTTTATACTAAAAGTGTATATATATTTGTTGATCATGATTTTAGCGTAAAAAATAATTCCTGCCTGCTCCTCCAATTCCATGGGTGGGGAAAGGCTGGCCAGAAATGCTGTATGAGGCCCATTAAATAATGTTTAGTCTGATCTGCACATTTCAAGACAGCCACATTAAATATTTGGCCAGATATAACAGTCTTACTTTAAATTGATAATCTTATAAGGTCTACACATGTTAGAAATATCCAAATAGCCCTTGGGAGAAAAAGTTCACCACCTTTGTTCTTGTGGAAGAGGACAAGAAACCAAAAGTGTGGCACCACTGTTGAGGAGATGAAATATACCTGGAAAGCGCAGGTACTGAACAACATTTGGCGGTACACCAGTTTAAAAAAAAAAAGTAAAGCACCCTTTTCCACGCCTTTAGGCATATAGGGTGTACAGGGCTAGACCTATATTTTATAGACCAATCGGCACAAGATGGTTGATGTGGTCAGCATCACGCCGGCTGCCTTTACTTCCCGGACTGCATCCGGTACCCACTCAAGGCTGGATCGACCTGGGAGCCAAGGTCATTTTTTGAAAAAGTCTGGCTTCCCCAGGGAACAAACCCACGACCATCACACCACGACTAGCACACATTCCGCAGGCGACGTTTAGCCGCTACGCCACGGCGACTACTAGTGCACCAGTACCATACTGGTATTCAAACATCTCCAGTCATCCTAGAAACAGATTTCTAGCTGTGAAGTGCACCAGTACCATACTGGTATTCAAACATCTCCACAGTCATCCTAGAAACAGATTTCTAGCTGTGAAGTGCACCAGTACCATACTGGTATTCAAACATCTCCACAGTCATCCTAGAAACAGATTTCTAGCTGTGAAGTGCAACCAGGACTATACTGGTCAGCAGCTATCCATACATCTCCACCGTCATTTAAGAAACGAGTTTCTAACCAAAGATTTCCTTTAAACTTGGAGTGCACCTGCCTTAGAGGCAAGGAACCAACATTCTGCAAACAAATATGCCAGATCAGTCAAATGGATGTGAACACAAAATTCTGCAAACAAATAAGCCAGATCAGTCAAATGGATGTGAACACAAAATTCAAGTCCTGGAACAAGACTAAATTTCAGAAGTGGATATTATGTTATCACAATCGATGTCTTTGTCCTTTGGGCAGTCCTCCGATGTAGCAGCCACTCCAAAATACCTCTACTGATTGTTCCCATGAGGAGTTGGTTATTGTATCTCCTGTCTTTATCTCAAAGATGATATAGACATGCTTCTCAAAGCTTAACTCCTTGGTCATGCAGTCATGTTAGTGTCAGAGATTCACCATTGTCCCCCAACCTAGTTCATACTGCATTGATGATATCAGCTCTGTCCATACTTCTTCCCATTTGCATTGGTGCATTACTTGCCAGCTGGTCAGATCTCTCATTACCATTTACTCCTGCATGCCCAGGTATCTAGATCCAGTTGAAGGAGGTTAACTACAACTTCTGAATGCTTTCTACCCATTCAGAGCGTAGACTACCTTTACCGATTTACTGAACATGTTCATAGAGTCTGAAACAATTATCACTTCTCTGGTCGCTTGTTTTGCTACCCATGTGAGTGCTCTGGAAGCAGCTGTTATCGCCATGGTCATGCTTCAGGTAGTTGTCTGGTCAGCGTCGCTATACTATTTTATTGTTTTCCCCATCCTTTGTGCAGTGTATGCCCATCCTGATCTTGATCTTCTGGGCATGAATGATGATCAATCAGTGTCATAATCTTGGCGTCTACGGTGGCAGGTATTTGACTCCTGCAGTACTTCCCCTGCATCGACAGTATATGCAAGAATGCCAAGCCCATGAATGAAGATCTTAGTAAGATCAACGAATTACTCTTTGCAGATGACCAGGCCTTGATAGCAGATGCAGCCATGAAATTGCAACAACATCTAACATCCATGAATGAAGAATGTAAAACAAATAATATGAGAATCAACACTGAAAAGACAGAAGTAATGTCAATAGGAAAAAAGAAGACAAATCTAAACATAGCAATAGAATACAAAGGCATTAAACAGGCATCTGAGTTTAAATATCTGGGAACCACATTTACCGAAGATGGGAAATTGAATAAAGAAATTAACATTAGATGCAGTAAAGCAAACCAAGTATTGGGACAGCTAGCCCCCCTCTTACAGCATAAGACAATCCCAATCAGCACAAAGAGACATCTTATTCAAAGCATATTTATTCCAACTCTGTGCTGCCAGTGCCAGACATGGTCACTCACAACAAACCATAAAAGAAAATTAGTAACCACGGAAATGAGATGTCTGAGAAGGGCTGTAGGAGTGACCATAAGAGAAAAGATCAGGAATGAGATCATAAGAGAACAAGTCGGCACAGAACCAATTCTGGATTACATACAAAGACAGCAAGTGAAATGGTTTGCCCACTTAGAGAGAATGCCTTGTGACACCATACCATACAAAGCATACATGGAAAGAGAAGAAGGACGAAGAGCACAGGGTAGACCAAGAACAAGATGGAAGGATAACATCAGAGAAACTCTTCAACAGCACGGTGTGCCTATGGTCGAGGCAGCAAGAAGAGCTAGAAACAGAACCTTATATCTCCCTCGACACCCACAGCGGTAAAAGAGGAAGTGAAGAAGAGAAGAAGAAGAAGAAGTACTTCCCCAGTGTTATGACAACCTTGACATCCATAATGCAAGTCATTTTCATCCAATTGTCAGTCAAGTTGGGATGGATGAACCACACACAAAGAGTATGCCAGACATTTCCAGTTCTTTTGTGTTTTTTACCTTAAAAGAATCAGGTCAAAGTTCCACAAGAAGGTCCATCCAAAATGATGTTTATGGCAACCCAAGGTTGTCACAAATTGTTCTTCCTGTTGCTATTCAAGGAGGAAAGCCAGGAGCTCATCCAAATTTAAAGGTAAGGGTGTTTTCTTTTCATTTAATTGATTAATAGTTACACAAAGAAGACAATCAAATTCTTTGATCATGCCATGAGAAGGAGAAAACTGTAGTATATCATGATGGTGGGAAAGCTGGAGAGGAAAAGAGGTAGAGGTAAACTGAGACAGAAGCTGTTGGACAGTTTGGCAGCATGGCATGAAAGATCATCTGTGTCAGAATTTTTGAGAGTATGCGAGACACTATTGTCGTATATAGTCCTGGTCACACATGAGTGTTTGATATCAATATAAGCTTCAATCATTATCATTGAATCTGGTACTGGTCACACTTAGGTGTTTGATATAAATATAGGCTTCAATCATTATCATTGAATCTAGTACTGGTCACACTTGTGTGGTTGATATAAATATAAGCTTCAATCATTATTATTGAATATAGTACTGGTCACACTTGGGTGTTTGATATAAATATAAGCTTTAATCATTATTATTGAATATAGTACTGGTCACACTTGGGTGTTTGATATAAATATAAGCTTCAATCATTATCATTGAATCTAGTACTGGTCACACTTAGGTGTTTGATATAAATATAAGCTTCAATAATTATCATTGAAACTAGTACTGGTCACACTTGTGTGGTTGATATAAATATAAGCTTCAATCATTATCATTGAATCTAGTACTGGTCACACTTGTGTGGTTGATATAAATATAAGCTTCAATCATTGTCATTGAATATAGTACTGGTCACACTTGGGTGGTTGATATAAATATAATATAAACTTTAATCACTGTCAGTGAATCGTGTGTGACTTACCAAGACTCTCTGAAAAAGCAAAGAAGAGAAATATTGCACCCAACCAGGCATGTCATAAGAGGCGGACTGAGATTAGAGTTAGACTTGGGGTTGGCTACCTCAACAACAACAAAAACACTATAGTAACGACAACCAACTTACCATAGCAAATAAATCCAGCCAAGTGAAGAGAAAAAAAAAAACTGTCCAGCATCTTCTGTCTTGGTCTGCCTTAGTCTCCCTTTAATGATTTCTCTTCATAAGTTAATTTCTGTCAAAACCTCTTTGTTACTTTTTAAAAACAATTTTCCTTTGGTTCATCATCAAATAAAAAAAATATCATCTAATAAAACTACTTCTCTGCAGCTTTAAAATAATGTTGAATGAATTGGCTGACTGTTCCGGATTTGTGGACAAGAATTCAAGACCTCGGGCGCTATGTATCTACCATCATCAAGAAGAATTCCTGTTTGCAGTCTCTCAACATACAAATGTGTGTTTAGTAGGTCCTTGCAGACTTTTTCCTAGCCAAGACTATTCACTAAAAGGAAAAGCCAGAATTTTTTACCATTTTGTAGGAAAATTATATTGTTCATATCAGTAATGATAATAAAAATAATATGTTAGACATTCTAAATTGTCTCTGCTAAAAGAATGGTAAACTCTCTCACCTGAGAAGTGAACTTTACAAAGTGGCTGCCAAAAAATTGACCTATGCTCCAATGGGTGCTTTTCTGCTGTATCTTACTATGAAATTAAAGGGTTGATAAACTTACCAAGAAAGGGGGAGGGTTTGAACTGGAAGAACATGTACTGACTTTCCTGGATAGAACACCCAGACTTTTAGAAATGAATAGTACTAAGCCAATAATGACTAAGACTCAATGGGCTGGCATGGACACATCATTATTCTACACCCCAGATTAGGATTTACAAAACTGGCAAAATTA